AAAAAAAAAAAAAAATTTAAAATTGCTCTTTTTTTTTTTTTTTTTTAGTTTTAGCCATTTGAGTAGATGCATATTGGTATCTCATTGGTAGTTTTAATTGACATCGCCCTCATGGCTAGTGGTAACATTTTTTTTCTTTTGATTTATTTATTGTTTTTATATGAGTATGTGTTTTTACTATATTTATGTAAGTGTACCCATACATGCAATGGCTGCAGAGGCCAGAAGAAGGCATCAAATCCCCTGGAACTGGAGTTGCAGATGATTGTTAGCCACCATGTGGATACTGGGAAGCAAACCCAGGTCCTCTGCAAGCGCAGCCAGTACTCTTTAACTGCTGAGACATCTCTCCAGCCCCTCTTGGTAACATTTTTATCACTTTTGATTCCTCTTTGTTCTTTTGAAGTCTTTTCTCTATATTTAAGTTGAATTGTTGAACATTGAGAATTACTTATATAGTCTCAATATAGTTCATTTATCAGATAGGAGATTTGCAAATATAATATCCCACTATATTAGTTACCTTTCTGTTGTGATAAAGTACCATGATCAAAAGCAACTTTTAGAAGAGTTTTTTTGGCTTATGGTTCCATCATGGTGAGGAGGCATGACACAAGCATTAGACATGGTGGCTGGAACCAAAAACTCAGAGAGCTCACATCTTGAAGAACAAACAGTAAGCAGGAGAGCAAACTAGAAGTGGGGCAAGGCTATGAACTCTCAAAGCCTACCTCCAGTGACTACAAATTCCACGTCCTCCCAGTGTCACCAACTGGTAACAAAGTGTTCAAATATATGAGACTATGGGGGACATGTCTCATTCAAACCACCACACCCACTCTGTTAGCTTGTCTTCTTAATCCCCAATGGTACTTTTCATAGAATGAAAGTTTTACATTTTGATGAAGTACAATTCATCAATGTTTTTCCTTGTATAGTCATGCTATTGGAGATATATGTAAGAAACCTTGCTGAACCATAAGCTCTGTTCCCTGTGTTTTCTAAAATTTTATGGTTTTATGTTTTCCACTTATACATATGGTTCATTGGGGTTCATTTTTATATTTTATTATTTTTATCTTATGTGTATAAATGTATTGTCTGCATGTGTGTAAGTGCATCTGTGCTGTGCAATGCCTGTAGAGGTCAGAAGGGGGTGTTGGGTTCCCCTGGAACTGAAGTTACGGATGGTTGTTAGCCACCATGTGGGTACTGGGAATTGACCCTGGACCCTCTACAAGAGCAGTCAGTGCTCTTAACTGCTGAGCCATCTCTCCAGCCCTAGGGTTCATTTTTGTATAAGGTATAAAGCTCAGATCAAGGTTCAATATGGTGTCCACTTGTTCAGGTGTCATTTGCTGAAATGATTAACCATTCTCTATTGTCAAAGCTTGCAAACTTTTTCCAAAAACATCTGCTCATATGTGCATGGGTTTATTTCTAGACTCTAGATTTTATTCCATTGATGCATTGTCAATCTTTTTGTCAATACCCTACTTACATTATTAATATGCATTAAAATAAGATTGAGTTGTGTGACTCCCAATATTAGTTTTCTTTTCAAAATCGATTGGGTCTCTCACAATTGTTTCATTCCTTTTCTATATGTTTTATAATTAGCCTGTCAGTAGCTACAACATATCCTTCTGACATTTGATTGGAATTTCATTAAATCAACAGCTGAGTTGGGGGAAATTAGCATTTTCTGAAGCTGACTATTCCAACCCAAGAACTTGATACATATTTCCATTATTTAGTCTTATTTGAGTTCTTTCACCAATACTCTAAATTTCTTTGGTATATGGTTTTGTTGGCTTTATATACAAATATTTTTGCTTTTCTGATCAATTGTAAATAGTGCTTTATAAATTTTAGTTTTCATTTATTAATTCCCAGTGTATAGAAATATTATTAATAGTTATGTGTTGATCTTGTATTCAGCAAACTTGCTTAACTCACTTGTTAGTTCTAAAACTGTTTGGTACATTCCTTGGGTATTTTATGTGTAGATAACTAAGCTGTCTGAAACTAGACTAGAGTCAGTTTGATTTCTTTCTAATCTGTGTGTATTTTTATTTACTTGTAACAATTTATTGTGCTTGCTATAATTTGGAGCACAATACTTAAAAGAAGTGGTAAGAGTGAAAATCTACCTCTTTTTACTCCTGATCTTAGGGACAAAAAAAGAGGTCACATTATACAAATTAAGTATGACTTTAGCTGTCAGTTTTTTTGGGCACACCCTTTGAACTTGAGGAAATTCCTTTCCATTCCAACTGTTAACCAAGAGAAATGGTTTCTTGTTTGTTTGCTGCTTTTTTTTTTTAATTTTGGGAAGGGAGAAGAATATAGATTTTTGTTTTTGTTTTCTTTTTATACAAGTTTAATTGTGTGGGGGGGGGACACGTGGGACAGCATGCATGTGGGGATCAGAGGACAGCTTTCTGTAGTCTGTTCTTTCCTTCCACCTATATGTGGGTTCTGGAGATCAAATTCAGGTTGCCAGGTTTGGATGGCAAGCACCTTTACCTGATGACCCATCCTGCCAGCCCTCTAAAAGAGATTTTTGTTGACTTTGTTGTTTTTATTTAAATATCTGGTAAAGTTCACAAAAAATACACAAAACGTATTTGAGTATGGAGATTTCTTTTTTGGAATAATTTTAACTGCAAATCAAATTTCTTTAATAGTTACTCAAGGTTATTCACATTATGTGTATTTTCTGGAGTTAATTCTGTAGTCTATGGTTTTTAAGAAGTTATTCCATTTCATCTCAGGTTTGTGGGTGTAGTTGTTTCTAATATCTCCTTAGCACTCTCTTTTAGACAGTCTTGCAGACCTCCTTACTGACCTTTTGATGTCTGCAGGGTCTGTAGAGGTAAGCTTTCCTTCATTCCTGATATGGTTTTTGTTTTGTTTTTTTTTGTCTAGGCATCTGTTGGCTCATTAATGTTTTCAGATAACCAGCTTTTGTTTTCGTTGATTT